CACTATGTATTTCAGGGTGGCCTGGAACTCAGGAACCTCCTGCTCTTCCAGTGCTGAGATTACAGGTTTGAGCCACTAGACTCAGCATCCATACTCGTTTTTATGCATGCATACCCATGCATATGTAAATGTGTTTTTTAAATTCAAGCCTTACTAAGTGTTTTTGAATGACTGAATGAGAGTGAATAAAGGAAATTAAGATGTTATGTTAATAATCCACTCAGTTAAAAGTCAAGAAAGTATTTGTGGAAACAGAAAAGAAATAATAGAATGTGAACAGGTGTTAAAATAAACCTACAATCCATGACTGATTTGCCTATGTTGTACCTATATAGAATAAAATTTAAAAGCTGCAAACAATGGATGTAGAAATATAAATTTTTATTAACAAGATGTAACAAGTAAGATATCCTTCCTATTATATAGCTCTCTGAATACCAGACTTCATGCCTACATAATAGAAGTAATACCATCTTGCAGGATTTATGAAGGGTTGAGAGGAAATGTATGTAAAACATTTGACATATAGTTGAACAATGAATTTGTATCATTGGTATTGATTGGTGCTTTACAATAAGGGCAGACACAGTAGGCTGTCTCATTAATAGCATTACTCCATCAATACAATCATTATGGATTTCTTCCAATATTTAAGTCAGCTCTCAGGAATTTCCAGTAATATAAATTGGGATTTATACATTTACACAAAATTATTGTGGTCATTTTTATTTGTCCTACCTCCTGATGACTCAGAGAATAGGCTTTAAAATAGAAAGGTTATATTTATTTTTCTTAATGCTGCTACAGCAATGACTAAAAATAATTCTGATATGTCCTTAATGAGGAAGGCTGTATGCAGACTTTGTTGTAGGTAAGAAGTAATTCACAAACCAATTTGAAGAGCTGGGAACTATTAAGATGCAATAGGTTTTCCTTCTAATTTCTCTGTGTTCCTTTTTATAAAGATTTTAAAGGCAAATCCCGTGGTGAGAAAATAGACCTTAAGTGAATGAAAATGTTTGGAAAAATTATGCATGTAGTTTTCATACATATGCTTTATTAAAATTTTGATTTATAGAAAAGATAAATTGATATTTATTCAAGTTATAAATTTTTCACATATTGTTGCAATGAATTGTTATACTTTTATACTTTTTGTGTATTTATACTTTGTTTCTCCAGAGTGTGACCTCTTTGGGACAATAACATTCTCTTATCATTGTATGCCCCTTCTAGTTCCTATCTCAGTGCTATATAACTGCTGATGAGTAAATTATCTTGTAATTCAATGTTTGCAGTATGAACTTATCTTCAGAAATATGTCTTACTTATAAGTTCAGAATCACACTTATCTGTTATGTTAGACTTGTTAGGGGATTGCTCCTATTGTGGCTAAATTTATCCATTATAATTATAAAAGCAAGACTGCCTTTTCTTTTAGGAACATTTTTCCTTCATTTGTGTGAGATCCATGCATCTAACTCCATATTCAGCAGGGAACTATCCAAGCCTCTTGCCAGTACCGCTATTTATTTGGCACTACCTTCTGCCTCACCAATGTACAAGTATTAATTAACCAAGATAATTTCTTTCATATGTATGTTTCAAGATTGTATGTAGTTCTCATCTCTACATACAACTGACCCTTTACTGGCAAATGACATTTCTTCTAACAGGAAACTGTTATTTTCTATGGAACCAAATTTGTATAAAAATAATTTGTGCAGATACTAATCTTCTCACATTATCCATCCATCCATCCATCCATCCATCCATCCATCCATCCATCCATCTGTTTATCCATCTACCATGCTCATTGGACTAAACTAGGTCCTACAAGGGATTATAAGGAAGCCTAGAAATCAGAGTGGCATATGATAAGTCATAGTAAGTGATATAAACTCATACACTATAGAAGATCCAATAAAGACATGTGGTACTGGAAAGATCTGGTGCACTCACCAAGTCTGAGGAATACTTTGATATAATAGGAAAAGCACAGGACAATGAATTAGAAGACCAAGTTTTCACTTCTACAAGTAACTATTGGAACCATTTGACTTGAGTCCTCTGAATTTCATAATTTTTCTCATCCAGAAATTGAGAACAATGATCATGACAGTAACTTCTTTTTCTTTATGAATCACACAAATAAAATTACTTAAAATGTCTGAAAACATTAAAGTATGATTCCAACGTAAGGATGTGTTGCATTAATATTTCACCAACTATCACAGAGTTCTCTAAATTACTGATTCGAGAAATATTAAAAATTCAATCAGAAGAGAGGATTAATCTTGGTTATTTAGTGTGTATGTATGTTATTGAGTAGGAGAGAAAATGATAGATAAAGAAAATGACAGGACTGTGATGTAAATCTGACTTTTTGTTGGAAGATAATCCATATTACATTTGTAATTTAGAAACCAAATGTAATTGCTATGAAAATATAAGGATAAAGTTGCTGTAATTTATTGAGCCATTGCTATGTTATAGAGACTCTGCTAAGAAGTTTTTGTATATTGTATAATTTAATCTTCACAACAGTCCTAAGAATCAACTATTAACCCCATTTTACAAAGGGGGAAACTCTGGGTCGGAGCTTGTATTATTACTGAGTAATTTGCATTGGCATGTCCCACAAAAAGCAGTGAGAAATCCAAAAGTCAAATGAAGTGATTTGATGTGTCTGTTAAATCAGAAGAAAAAATAAGTATTGCAGTTAGTTCACAAAGGATTTGCATGTCATATGTGAGAATGTGAACTTGATTCTGTGGGTAATCAAGAGCCACTGAAGGTTTTAAGTACAGAAACAGGACCTTTGCCTGCCTGGAATAGAATTGGTACTCAATACATATTCAATGAATAAATGAATGAATGGGTTTGCCTTTTAGAAAGATTGGCATTATAAATGTGGTATGTGGTTTGGAGGGAAGTAAGACTGAAGTAGGAAAATTAAAGCCTGTGGCTCATAGGAACTGGCTGCTAGGCTGTGGAGAACCAACTGTGCTCATCTCTTTCCAACTTCAGATTCTGTGACTTCAAGTTGGTGGACTGAAATCAACCTTGGTGAAAGTATTTGCACCACAGAACTCAGCTAACACTACAAATTAGGGATTTCTTTTTTGGGGAGCTGTTGTAACAGCATATTTCTAGAGTGAACAAAGATAAAAGCAAATGGGGCTAAAGAGGAGGGAATACGTATTAGGAGAACGAGTGAAGTAGACTCAGCAATAGTCATCATCACTTGGTTAACAGAAGGGGAGTTTGATGTGGAGATTTTAAAATGACTTATCACGTTATTGTCTTGGATGATTAAAGTGGAAAACTGGTGCCTTTACTAAGAGAGCATTGAGGACGGGGAAAGAGTGATTTCTATTCAGGGAATATTGAAATAGAAGTACCTGTGAGATATAAAGGTACTTCATAACCACTTCAGAAGACAGTGGTTATGTGGATATGGAACTAAAAGGAGAGCTCTGGATTCAATATAAAATATGGTGCTCATGAAGGCAGGTGAAATCATGTGAGTGGATGAACTTTCAAAACAAAATAAAGGAACAGAACCCTGGGAAAGGGTTCTGAAAGAATAAAAAAATCTTTCAGGTTCTGAAAGATACAAAAATTATGTATCTTTTTGTTCAAAGACAGTTTGAGTAAGTAGGTGGAGCTATGTTTCCTCTGTAAATGCTCAAAATGAAACTTGAAAACAGCAGCAACAAAAAAAGGAATTTTCATTTTAAATCAAGTATCTGGGAGGGAAAAAATGTCTAGGAACATGGAGGGAAACAAATTATTTTAGAAATCACCTTAAATGTAATTATAAGGAATTTATCCCATATATCTCAGCACTGTTATAAATTGTTTACTTCTTTGCCTGTGTCACTAGACTAGGAAATGCTGTCTTTTCTTTATGTTTGGGGACTTGCACATAGTATATGCTCAAAACAATAACAACAACAAAAATCTTGCTGAACCTATGACAGAATAGGGAGTTTTGGAGTCAGACGCGCTACCGTTGCGCCACGAGGTCACAAGAATAGGGAGTTTTAATAGATGACCTGGAAGGTCCCCTCACCCGAGACTGATAAAAAGGGAAGTGGTGATAATTGTTTACCACTTAAAAGAAGTGGGTTTGGTCCTCCAGATCCACAGGGCCAGTGTTTCAATCCTACATTACAGGATTATTTTTTTAAACAGTTACAAGTATTGAACAGAATAAAAACAGTCCCAGGAGGTAGGTATCTTTTAATAACTAGCATTTAACAGCTGGAAGAGCCCTTAAATAGCTTTAGATCTTCCTAATCTTTTTCATATCATTGCCTACATAAAAACGGTGTTTGTACAACAAAAACCAAAACTACATCACACCAATCGATCCTTGCCACACGTTCTCGGGGCTTTGGTTGTTGGAACTCATCTAACCCTTCCTCATTTGCAGAAGGACAAGCCGAATCTTAGTGAGGGACCTGGCGTTCCCAGGACAAGACGTAAAGACAAAACGTCAGTGGTTACGGCTGGGATTAGAACTCGAGTTTGCGGACTAGCGAGGCAAAAAGTCTCAGCTCAATTAAGTCTGTTGGCGGCGAAACCTGAAGACTGAGCAGCAGATCGCAGACAGTCGGGATCCAGTGTCCCAAGGCCACTGACGCCAGAACTTGTTAAACACGAGGCTGGGAGCGGCACACAGCCGACCGCATGCATTTGCAGGCTTGCGATTCCCCTGCCCTCTGGGCATCATTGCTGGCCTTGGAGCTCCAGCCGGGCGGCGCGGGCGGCACAGCCCTTCCCGTGCGCTGGCGGGAAGGCCGTTGTTACGTACGTACGGCGCGTGGGCCGTCACCAAGCCGCCGGGGTCCCACCACCACCCTCTGGGCCCAGAAGAACCAACTGCGGTGGCGGGGGGCGGCCCTGGGCAGAGGCAACTCATCAGCGCCCCCTGGAGGCCAGCGCCTTCCACAGTCGAGCGGGGTGCGGTCGCCCCCGCCGCAGCGTTTCAACTCCTCTCAGTTCCGCCCACCAGAAGGAAGCACTACGGCGCCGGCGTCAATTCTGCGCTGCCCCGCCCTCCCTCCAGACCGGATGTTAGCTGACCTCCCATAGTGCTTCGCGAGTGGCGGGCATGATAACAAATCCCAGAGATTTGCACGCGGGTTCAGGTTGTCAAAGTCGGAGCTGCTCTGCAAGGTGTGAAGGAGGCGCGTCCACTGCCTAGTCGATGGCGCTGCTCCGGGGCATGTGGGGTGCGCTGAGGGCCCTGGGAAGGTCTGGAGCCGAGCTGTGCGCGGGTTGTGGAAGCCGACTGCGCTCACCGTTCAGGTAGGGCCGCCCACCTGCGCCTACCTGACTGCTGGGCCCAGGGCGTCCTGGGGCTGCAGTGTAGATACTGCCCTCCACTTTTTTCCTCTCCCTACCCCACCCAAAACGATCAGAGCCACCCTGGCCACCTGATTCAGATCGCGACTTTGCCAAGGGGACGGTGGCTTTGATACCAGGCCGTGCTCTTTAGGTACCCCGCATCGTGCTTCCTAGTCCCCTCCGCTCCCCACCCCCACTGTCCAGCTTCAGCACCGCTGCGGCGTCCCTGCGATGTCGCCGCAGTCTCCCGCCGTCATCCAGGCGTTGCGGAGGCGGGGCCCAGGAGCTGGAGAAGAGATGCTTTCCTCCCCTCTGGTAGGATGTAAGGGCTGTGAACTTGAGCCCTGCAGGCTTGTCCTTCTGGCTTGGGCAGGGAGTTTTAAAAGTCATAGGGGATCAGTGGCAGAGCGTTAGCATTCTTGGAAGAAGGTGTCAGCCGTATAGCATTTTCATGACATCTTATTTGGAATCTGTTCATGTGCACGTGAATACTGACAATTAAGAATCTGACATTATTTTGTTTTTATTTACATATAGTTTTCTGTATGTTCCCAAGTGGTTTTCATCCACCTTGAGTAGCTATCCGAAGAAACCTATGACTTCATACCTTCGATTTTCTAAAGAACAGCTACCCATATTTAAAGCTCAGAACCCAGGTAAGGAGTTTAGGAGCTTGTACTCTTTCTTATCTGATGTAATAAGAAGGCCACTAAACACTTACATGCAAACTTAAATTTGCAGTACCAAAGCATCTAGTGGCTGCTGGAACAATAATGTTGTTTGATGGTCTGTATAACATTTCATACCAAATACAAATGCTTTAAATATAAATGAGAACTACTGAAAAGTATTTTTAAAATACTTAAATACTTTTTTAAAAAAAATAAATAAAAAGCCTGTAGTGTTGGGGGCGGGGGAAGCTGAATTTAGGGCCTAGTTGCCTTTGGCTTACCTCTTGCTTTACTGCTGCTTCTGTATTAGGACATTGTTCCTAAAGTGTCAATGAAATAATTTATGTGGAAGTGTTCTATAAACTGTAAAGCAAATTACTGCTAAATTTAAGAGCCTTTTCACCGAAAATCATTTCTGAGTTCCATAGAAAGATAATTAAGACTTTTATTTTGGGTTATAGTATGAAGGGAATAGCTAAATTAATAATAGATATAGTTTGCTTATGATTTCTGAAGCTCCTTTATATGCAGTACTGCACAGGGCACTTGCAAAAATCAAATGAGCTGTAATAAAAACAATCATATTATAAATAAGGAATTAGTTTTTAAAGCTATGCTTAAGTACTACCTGCATCTTTTTAAAAGTAAGACTTGGGACTAACAGGTGGTTATTAGATCATCATTCTAGTTAAGACAAGGACGGAAATGGCAAATAATGGATTAATCTTAGAATAGTTTGCTTTTAAAATATTCTAATAATGGATTAATTTTTAAATAGTTTGGATAAGGCTGGGCAAGGCATTGCATGTTTGTAATCTCAGCTATGTCCCAGGTGTAAGTAGGAGAATCAGGGGTCCAGGGCAGCTAAGCAAGACACAAGACCCTATCTGAAAAGTAACTTAAGCAAAAAGGGCTGAGGACTTGGCTGAAGTGGTAGAGTGACTGCCTTAGCAAGCTTCAAGCCCTGAATTGAAACCCCAGTAGTGCAAAAAAAAAAAAAGAATAGCTTGTTTTCAAACTATTCTAAAATCAAATTAAAAAGTTATAATTGAAATGCAAGGTTGTATTATATGAACCAAGAGTATATTTTGTGGTGTAGTCATATTTTATGAACTTAATTCCTGCAAGATTAAAAAAAGTTTCAATTGAAATATGAAAGTAAAAAACTTGAAGCAATTGATTACTCAGTTGATTTCTGAGGACTATTTTTGATGGTTTTGATGTACTTCTTAGTTATTAAATTACATTTTTTAACATTGTTGCATAAAGTTTTAAATTATTGACCATATTTAAATCGTTGAATAAGGAAAAATTAAATTGGTGCTTTAGGTGTGATAGAGAGATGTCTGTAATATAGCTTGTTTTTAGAACTAATGGATTGTGCTTTCCTGCAGGTTGGTAGGAATTATCCCTGAGACATAAAATTGTGACATCTTTTTTCATTTTATTTCAATTCATAGATGCAAAAAATTCAGAACTAATTAGAAAAATTGCGGCGCTATGGAGGGAACTTCCTGATTCAGAGAAAAAAGTAAGTATAAGTTTTCAATATTGCTGACCGGTTAGGAACAGTTGTCATGTCTTGTAAAGGACCAGATGGCCTATACTTTTTTGTTACTTTATACTTTCTGGCCCAGGTAGATGATGAGAATGTGGATGTAAGAGGGGAGAAGTGAATGGTTAGCAGAAGTTTGAAAATGGAAGCTAAATGCTCCTCTCACGTTGGTTAGCAAGTATATTAAAAATACATTCTACCCCACAGCACATTTTCACCTGGTGGTTCATTCTTTATCTGAAGTCATGCCATTGTCTTTCTCTGGCAGATGTTATATTAAATCTTCCAGCAACAGCTTATTGACTTGCTGTTTTTTTGTTTTTTAATAGTTGTATGAAGATGCTTATAGGGCAGACTGGCAGGCATACAAAGAAGAGATAAACAGAATTCAAGAGCAGCTTACTCCAAGTCAGAGACTATCTTTGGAAAAAGAAATGCTGCAAAGACGTTTAAAAAGGAAATCATTAATAAAAAAGAGAGTGAGTATCATTGAAATACTCTTTCCCTATGAAAAAGAATTGAAAATTACATAACTATAGAATATAGGTAGTTTTCTCTATTTCAATGATAATATTTAGAGAAGAGGTGATAGAATGTTATTATGTGTACTCCAGTTAGGCAAAAATATGATAGTTATCGTTTTCCACTACAACCACTTGTCATTGAGGCTGTCTTGGAAATCCTTGTCGCTGCTTTCATATATATCCAGTTAGGAGAACCAGTATGAAGGTTATAGAATCAGTAATGAAACAGCCAAACGAGGAACAGAAAGAATTTTGCTTCTGAGTCTTATTTAGACTTACCCTATCAATTCAATTTCCAGTTTGAATTGTTCCTAGGTACTGGTGAGTTTGATACTAATGTTGCTGAATAGACTGAGTTCATTCATTAAAACATCAGAGAAAAGTGCCAGTTTATCTAATCAAGTAAGAAATGTCTTTAGGTTAGAATTCCATTTTTTTTCGAAGAAGTAACTGAGAAATTCAGCATGGGTTAAAATTTGTAGTTCCCAGCTTAAAATGTTAGTCAACATCAAGGCCATTGTTTGAAAGTTAGACTATTTTTTGTAGAACCAATATTAGGTGATGAAAGATACGGGCATCAGAGTTAAAACTATTTCTCTGAAAAAGTAAATTCCAGCCTTGAATGTGAGATGCCAAGGCATCTTTCCCTAACCCTAATGTTTTAAGCTGTAGTGTTTTAAGCACTGGGGCTGAGGACTCACCCAGTTTCTAGTCAGTGATGATAATCTAAGGCTGCCAGTTCAATTAGTAAAAAGGAGCCAGAAAGTATGCTTAGACTGAAAAAGCATTTGCATAGAGATGGTCACTGGAAGAATAATTACCAAAGCGTATTCTCCCTCTTTCCCTTTCCCTTCCTCCTCAGTGCATTCAGTCTGTGTTAAGGGTGGAGAGGACTGGAAATAAGGATTGGGCAAACATAAGGATTTTCCCTTTCTAGTCTACTCCTTAGTGTAATTGTTCTTCCTCTTAAAGACTCCCAGTACCAACTGGCTTAAGGGAGAATTGTGGGTTACCAGGAAGTTATAAGTAAAGCATGTAAACAACAGAAATCTTTAGCAGCAATTCTAGAAACAAAGGGCAAAATTGTTAAATTTAATTTAAAAAAATTGAAGTCTTTGGAGTCTACACTAGTTTCAATATTAAGTAATTGAAAGGTTCAGGAAAAAGAATGTGATCACTACATATAAATCAGAGGCTCCTTACTTTTACATATGGATAAAAATTAAATTGTTATTGATGAGAAACAAATTGTCAGGAACCACAGAATTTTATAAATTCAAACATTAGTATCCAAATTCATAAGCTAAATAGAATAATGCAGTGTCCCTCATTCTCTGAATTTGGGAACTAAACTGAAATAGGAAAGGATACTTGTCTTTTTTCATAACTTCTTTTTCCCTTGCTGCCTAGTAAAAAGACTTGAATGTAACACATCTGTTGAACTTTAAATGTTAAGAGACTTTCAGAGAAGGAATGGATGAGACATTGTTAGAAAGGTAGTCTCTGTGTTCCTGAGTTGTGATTTGACCAATGTGATGGTACTGTTTGCAAGGATGAAGCTGGAATTTGTTGAAATCTTTAGAAAAATTTTTTTGTATGTATATGCTCAGTTATTCAATTGAAAACATGAAATAACAGGAAATACTTGTTATATGGAAAGTAACTCATGAAATACAACTTTTACAACTAGTGCTATTAACTGGGTACCAGGGGCTCATCCCTATAATCCTAGCTACTTGGGAACCTGAGAACAGGAGGATCAGGTTCGAGGCCAGCCCAGGCAAATAGTTTGCAAGACCCCATCTCCAAAGTAACCAAAGCAAAAAGAACTGTAGGCAGAAGAGCACCTGCTTTGCAAGTGTGAAGCTGTGAGTTCAAACCCCAGTCCCATCAAAAAAATAAATTAATGCTATCAAAAATTTCATACTCCAATATATATAATAAACACATACTTTATATAAAAATTGTCACATTCACTAATTAATCCTGTAATGCATTGTAGTGAATAATTTCTGTGGGTAAAATTAATCATCACAAAGATTAAACTATATCTAACCATTCTATTTTGTTACTCAGGAATTAACAATCCTTGGAAAACCAAAAAGACCTCGGTCAGCTTATAACATTTTTGTATCTGAAAGCTTCCAAGAAGCCAAAGATAACTCATCACAGGTAAATAGAACGGCATTTTTTTCTTAGATTTTTTTTTAACTTAAAAATGACTTTGGATATTCTAGGAGTCTCAATAGCAGATGGTGAAGGAAAGTAGTGGATTACAGAAATTAAACTCTTTTGTTAAGGCCTTCTTGTTTGACTTTCTTAAAGAAAAATCCTTGAGGCTAGAGATGTAGCTCAGTGGTGGAACACTTTTTTTTTTGAATCATATACAATTAATTTTAGTATGTAGCTGCCAATACATACATATCTTACCAACTTTTTAAATTAAAAAAAAATTTCAGCCTGGCAGGGTGACTCCCTTCTTTAATCCCAGCTACTCAGGAGGTAAAGACAGGCAGGATCACTGTTGAGACCAGCCAGGGCAAAAAGTTAGTGAGATCCCTTCTTAACAAACAAGCAGGATGTGATGGCACATGCCCGTTATCTCAGCTACCAAGCGGCATAGGTATGAGGGTTGTGGTTTGAGGCTGACTCTGGGTAAAAACACGAGACCCTACCTGAAAAATTACTAAAAAGCAGAAAAGGACCAGGGGGAAGCAAGGCTCAAGTGGTAGAGTGCCTGCACAGCAAGTGCGAGAAACCCTGAGTTCAAACCCCAGTACCACCAAAAACAAAAACTATAAATTTTTCACATTTATAGTGATGTTAACTGTTTTACAATCACTGGCAAGAATGAGAGTAGAACTGTAATATTTTGTTCTGGGAATTGAGTATATCCTTTAATAAAATTTTGGTTATGCCCATGGGAATATTATACATGTGGTTGTCCTGATGTGAATGTGTAAAAGGGAAATAAAGCTTGTCAGTCATTTCTGGGGCTTAGTCTTTTCATTTTGTTTTTTCCTAGGAGATCCAAATGGGCAATTGTATTTTTCCTTGTATAATATAACATGGTGAAAGAAATGGAATATAATACATATGTAATATGTGTGTACAATATATATAATGTAACATGGTGAAAGAAATCCCATTGTCAATGCAAAATGAGACTGTTGACACTGCCTGTTTGGGGTTATTTGTCTGTAGTTCATGTCATGAATCTGGTTCACCATGTTATTAAATAATGTCTGTATATAACAGCGTCTTCCCTGGCTACATGTCCTTTCATTTACTTACTCCTCTTGGGACTTTATTTAATTCTGTGGGTCTATATTACCAAAATGCAAGTGTATCTTTTTTTTTTTTTTAAGTTAGAATTTGCTGTCACTGGTTTAGCTTGGATTTAGTTTCTTACGGATATAGGAAGGTTACATGCTGGAGAATCCTAAGTTAGAGCTCAACTCTGTCAATACATGTGAATCACCTAGAAAGCTGGGCCTTATCCCTGGAAATTAAAATATATCTTGTTTGTGTTTTTATTAACTAAAAAATACTAGTTTTGTACTCTCATAGTTACAAGAATCAAAATATTCTTACAGGTGTTTTGAAAAGGCAGTTTTCATTGTTCTGTCATATTCCTTATTCCAGAAACATTCCATATCTCTTAACATTCTCTTATTTATTCCACATCATCTCTTAACTTCCTTGTATTGTTGCTTCTTGATTTTTGTCAATCATAAGCATTATGTTTTATATTTTAAACCTTACCCCACTGTTTAAGATAAACATTTAAAGCTCGTTTTTCACATGTTGCCATTCCTCTGCCTTCCAATATGGTTATCATAATTTTAGTTAGGTCAGTATTGAGCATATTTATAGTATTATGATTATGTGAATCCTATTCACAGCTGAGCTGTGCCATATGCTCAGTTATTTTTTCTTTCATGTAAAATTTTCCAATGCAAACCTTTTGTTTGCATTGTGGGGGAGGGCATACAAACTTGTCTGTAATTCAATCTCAACCTCTTCACTGCTTGCCAGTTTTCAGTATATTTAGATATATTAGATAGTCTGTTACTTTCAATCTGAAGCTTCTGGTTTTTTCCAGCCTGGCTCTTGCCTTCTATGCCTATTATATAGCCTTTTGCTTCTATTATCTTTTTTGGTTTACCCTGATTCTAGTCTAGCATTTTCCCCAGTAGGGGTGCACAGGAGATTAATTTTTTAAGTTTTACAGGTCTAAAAACTGTGCTTGTCTTCACATGCTTGTTAGACTGAGCATAGAAATGGTATTCCTTGAAATAATTTTAAAGTATTGCTCTTTCTCTAGCTTATAGTTTTCTAGAACTATAAAGTTATATTCAATGGTCCAACATGGTGGTGTATGCCTATAGTCCCAGCCTTTGGGGGACATACAATGCTTGGTCTCAAAAAAAAAAAAAAAAAGCAAATAAGCCATTTTGATTATTGCTCGTTTGAGTATGATCTAGCTTCTTTTTTCTCCCTTTTCAAAACTTTCTTTCTCTTTGCTCTGATTCTAAATAAAATACTATTTTTGGATGGATTTCTGAACCGATCCTCTAATTTTCTTGACTTTTGTACTATTTTCCTCTAGCCTTCTGGCTTCCCCCTCACCTATAATATTTTATATATTTTCACTTAGTCTCTGTTTTCTGTATGATATTGTTGATCCTCAACTATACCTGATTTTCACAGAGTGACTGCTTTACTCTTGAAAAGAAAAATGTCTGAGAACCTGCCATGGTGGGGATTTAACCTCCTCTTAAACACTATTTCAACCAGTCCTGCCTTTACCTCTGTTTTATACCTACCTGACTGGTGTTGCCAGTGCCTATTGCCATTTAGAATTCTGTGTTGTAAATCAAATTGCTTTTAGATTGCCCTTAGCAATTAGCTCTGTCAATTAATTCAGTTACCACTTCTCCATCTGCTTTTCACTTTCTAAAATTTCATGCTGGCAGTGCCCTCTTTTGTTTATTTTGTCCTTGTATTTACGTTTTAACAATTATTTGTTCAATGCAGTTTCAGGAGGGAGCAACATCTTTCTATATTATAGTTATATAGTTGAATTTTATAGTTGAAGAATCAAGCCAAAGTTGTGGCTTTCAGGTCACAAAATTAAGTTCAGCTAAGTAGAATTAGTGACTTGTGTTGTTTGATCCCTATGACTATACCTAAACGCTTAGGCACAAATTTTAGAATTAAATATAAAATGACAGGGAAGAAGTAAAAACAACCTTTGAAGTTAGTCTGCAAAAGAATGTAGAGTATACCTGGATATTAATGTTTCTGAATAAAAAAAGTAGGTACCTTCATTCAATTCATTTTTGCAAATTTTAACAGTTTAATAGTTTTTGTTTAGAAACAGAAGTTATTAATTGATGCAGGTTGCCTATTAATTATTGATATCTCAGTTTTTGAATGAACAATTTAAAAATGGTTTTTTTTCTTTGCTGAAATCCTTATATGCACTACTTAAATATATATTGTTTTACAGGCAAAGCTGAAGTCTGTAAATCAATCCTGGAAAAATTTGTCTGATTCTGAAAAGCAAGTAAGTATTAGGCTTTTAGTCTCAGCCCCAGTGAGAATATATTTTAGTAATAGTATTTTAAAACTATTTTCATAGTATAAAAACCAATCTGGCTTTTCTCTCTTGGTAGTTTTTGACTATAAATAAAATTGGGAATTAAAGTATCAGTTAAATCTTGGAGTGTCCACTGTATTTATCCTACTTTTACTACTTTCTCATACCCCAACCTGTGAAATTTTAACAACTTGACTAATACATATAAAAACTGTCTCTCTTAAAACCTTTTTCTCATCTAACATCTATCTCACAAAAATATTCCCTTTCATACATTGGAAAATAGTGACAAAATATCTCATGTTCAGTAAGTCTGCCTTATTTGCAGATTTTTTACTTATGGCTTTGATCAATAAAGCATGGTCAAAAGAAAATCATACATATTTTTTAAATCAAAAGAAATTTCACAAACAAAAATTTTAAATATG